GGGGTGGGGGGACCTCGCCAGACAGGGATTGGCTCTGCTCCAGGGGAGCCCTGGGGGCGATGGCTTCCCTGGCCTGGGCGGCTCTGCCCGGGGGAGAGTCGGGGCTGGGGCTGCCAGCACGTCCTGTGCATCACCTCCTTCCTCCCGTCCTTCACAAACGCGGGCCTGGGCTCCTTCGAGCTGGGCTCTGGCCCAGAGCTGGCTTCAGGGTCGAAGCAGGGCGAGTTTGCGGAGGAGCCAGGGAGAGTGGGAAGGCGGGCACAGCCCCCTCGGGGACGTCCTTTGGGCTGCCTGCTGACGGCGCTGATCCCCTTGATCCCTTGATCCACCCCAGTTCCCATGAGCCCTAGGCGATGTGTCTGCGGGCCTGGGGTGTCCCGCAGCCGAGCCGCCGGAGCCCTCAGCCCACCGCCCTGGGGTGGGGAGAGGCAGGGGAACCCCCAAGCCGACGCAGCCCCAGGACCAACAGCTAAGGTGGGGCAAGGGCTGGCCAGCCAGCAGAGAGGCCCGGAGCCCGGCAATGCCGGCTGCAGCCGTGGAGGGCCAGCCTGCGGCCCTGAGCTTGGCAGAGAAGGCCGTGTGCAAAGTGGTGTACGGTGCGCCCCGCCCGCGCCCGCTGCTGCTGCCCGTGGGCCTGGAGCTGTGGCTGTACGTACAGAAGATGCGAAACCTGCAGAGGAAGAGGTGGGTGGGCGCCCGGCAGGACACGGGGCCCTCGGGCATGTGCAGGCCTGGGGAGCAGGCGATGGTGCCAGCCTGGAGGTCAAGGTGCAGTGGGAGGTTTTTGCCATGAGCGGAGAGAGTAGGGGCTTGTAGCCCTGGACACCCTGCCTGGTGCCTCTCCAGGTGGCCTCCCAGGTTGCCAGGGGCCCATGCTAGACCCCCCAGTGTATGCGATGATGTCCCATCAGGGGGCCCCGCCCACCCCCTTGATGTCTGGCCCCCAGGCCCTGCCCAAGCCAGAAACCTTTGCTCTGAAGCGAGGTGGGGAGGGCACCAGGCCCCGCATCGGAAGTGCCCATGCTTCGGAGCCCAGTGCCCCCACCCCCGTCACCTGGAGGAGAGGGCTGTTCGCTCCTCAGGTGGCTCGCGAGCAGCTGGGCAGGGACCAGCAGGCCCCAGTGAGGAAGCCCCGTGCGTGACCCCGTGGAGAGGGTGGGGCCATCTGTGATATGGCACCCGCTGCCCTCCCCAGGGCACTGGGCGATGCGGCCAGAATGTGGGGGGTGGTCCGCTGTCCTGCTCTCCAGGCTTCACCCCTCACCCCGGGCTCCCTGAGCGGTCTCAGGGCTCCGCTTGAATCTGTGGGGGGCAGGGAGGTGGTGGGTCCCGGAGCCCAGACCCTGTGTTCCCCTCGGAGGAAGGAGCCGCTCCCCCAGGACGAGGGGCCCCGATGCTGGGGAGTCGTGGCTGGGCGAGGGGCCTGGCGGAGGGGGGCGGCTTTCCCTGCAGAGAGCTGAGAGCCAGCGCCCCTCCCCGGCCGCGGTGTCACCGCCCGTGGAACCGTCTGCACTGCTCGTGTTCTCGACGACACGGGGAGGGTGACGGGCATGTGGCTGTGTCAGGCATCCGGCTAGCGTGGGGAAGCTCGGGCCGAGACGACTGCTTATTTTTAAGGTGCCGTGGTGGCCCCCAGTGACTCCCGACGTCGCAGTCGCACGGAGCTCCCGGGCAGGGAGGGGCGGGGCCTCGGGCGCCCTCCTCTGTAGCTTTCCCACGCACTCCGATGACCTCAGGAGCGATGGTGACGAGACAGGGGCAGCCAGGGCCTTCCTGCCACCGCACAGGGCGCGGCCCCCCCTTTCCCAGGTCTCGTGGGTGTGGGGTCACCGGGCTGGGGGCCGCCTGACCCCCTCCTCCCAAGGCCTGCGAGGAGCCCCCGCACTGGGCCCCACCCCTCCCGCCCCAGGGCAGGGCAGTAGGTCAGGCCTTCAGCCTGGGACCCATGCGACCAGCTGGGGCAGGTGGGAGAAGGCCGAGCCCCTGAGCGGTCCAGCCCAGGGCCCCATAGCGGGGCGGGCCAGAGCCAGGGCTGCCAGCCGTGCCCCGAGAGCAGCTCGCCCGAGGCCTGGGCCACAAGGGCCTCAGTGAGCAGGTGCCACCTCGGGGCACTGTGCAGGGCCCAAGGGTCAGGGGCTTCTTCTCCCACCTGACCAAAGGTGGGGCGTGAGGCCAGCACGGCCCCCAGCAAGGATCACACCGGCAGTCACTCAGGGCCCTGCGCCCTTGGGGTTAGGCCGCGTGCACAGGGCAGGAACTAGGGCGGTTTTCCAGGGATCGGGGTCATCCTGGGACGTGATACTGTCCACTTCCTCCCATGGCAGCGGTGGGGGGTGGGTGGGCAGCATGGCGGGAACAGCTGTTTCTCAGGCCAGTCCTGGCCAGCAGCCAGCAAAGCACTTCTCAGCTGGGGCAGAGGGGCAGGGAGGGGCTGGGGGCTGGCTGACCCTCTGCTCACAGGCAGCCATGCCCCCTGCAGAACAGGGTGAGCACAGATGATGGCTGAGCTCCCAGCCCCTGAGAGCTTGCTGGGTGCCCCGCCCCCTGCCCCCAGGATGCAGGATGGGGGCTGGGCTGGGCTCAGATCCTGCCTCTGTGACCTTGACCAGCTCACTGTGCCTCTCTGAGCCTTGGCTGTCCTCGGTGGAGACCAGGATGAAGGGTGGCCCCTGGCCTGGGCAGCCGGCACTTGGGGGCTAGTGGTGTTTGGAGCTCAGTCACTGCAGGTCTTGCTGCAGTCTCAGACTGACGGCTTCTCCCGGGGTGCCCCTGGGCCCTGGCAGTGAGGAGGTTTGGGCACAGGTGAGCCGCACAGGTGTGCCAGCCTAGGTACGGTCACGGCATCAGACCCAGCGCCTGCGTCTGGTGTTTATCCAGTAAGGTCTGGTGCACAGGCGTGGCACGGGGACCCTGTGGTCCGAGGTGGAGGAGCACGGGTCCCCAGGCTGTGAGCCCTCCTCTCTGCCCAGGATGGAGGCCTCCTGCCTGGAGCTGGCCCTGGAGGGCGAGCGCCTGTGCAAGGCTGGGGATTTCAAGGCAGGCGTGGCCTTCTTCGAGGCCGCCGTGCAGGTGGGCACCGAGGACCTGAAGACACTGAGCGCCATCTACAGCCAGCTGGGCAACGCCTACTTCTACCTGAAGGAGTACGCCCGGGCGCTGGAGTACCACAAGCACGACCTGCTGCTGGCCCGGTGAGCCGCGGGCACCGGCGTGGACACGCGGGGGCCACACGTCACCTGCCGGGTCCATCACTGGGCGGGGTCTGGGGGGGCAGTCACCGGGCAGGCTCTCCTAACATCGACTCTGGTTTCAAGCCACCCAGCTCCCCCTGCCCCAATCCGGGGTCCCCCGACAGCTGCAGGCCGTGCAGGGCCTCCCCCTGACCTGCCCAGAGAGAGCGATCGAGCCACGACCCCCGCCCCAGGCAGGCCCTCCCAAGGCCTTGCCCTCCCGTGCCCGGGCCCCTGAGCCTGGCAGGCCCCTCACTGCCCCCTGCCCCCAGGGCCATCGGCGACCGCATGGGTGAGGCCAAGGCCAGCGGGAACCTGGGCAACACGCTCAAGGTCCTGCAGCGCTTCGACGAGGCCGTCGTCTGCTGCCAGCGGCACCTGGACATCGCCCAGGAGCAGGGGGACAAGGTGCGTCCTCCACCCCCAGCCCACAGCCCCTGGGATTGGGGCCTGTGGGACACATGCCACTCACAGCCCCCTCCTCTCACCGTGTGGGCGGAAGGTGGGAGGATGGCCCCCCTCAGAAACGAGGGCTCTTTCTGCGTGTGTCGACACTGCGGAGCTGAGGCCTGGCTCCCCAAGCTGGAGTCCGCAGCCCCCCATCTTTCATGGCAGTTCCCCCCTCACTGGTCTCCCCCCGAATCTGCCAGCACCCCATCGCTCCTTCCGGGGCCCAGAGAGAGACGGGTGACACGGCCCTGGGAGGAAGCGTGGCTGCAGAGGCAGACGTCAGTGAAGTAGCTGCCGTGGACAGCAGCCTCGGTCCGGCCCTCTGCCAGACACCTGACCGTCCCGCTTTGCGACCTCTCCTGTACCCCTGTGAGATAGGTGTCCTTGCTCCCCTACACAGACAAGGAAATTGAGGGTAGACGGGTGACATGACTCACCCCAAATCATGGCGTCTGGCCCTGAGGCAGAGTCCCTGGGCTTCAGAGCGGGACCTGGCCACCTCATTGGGTGGACCTAGTCACGTCCCACCCAGGTCCTCACCTTTGGGACCCCAGGTCCAGCTAGGACAGTGGGCCAGGCAGCAGGCGCACTGGCTTTGCAAGCACGCCCCTGGGCGACGTCCCCACCCAGCAGCCCAAGGCTGGGGGCTCCTGGGGGTCTGTGGCTGGAGGCGCCCCAACCTCGGTGCCGCCCGCAGGTCGGGGAGGCACGGGCACTCTACAACATGGGGAACGTGTACCACGCCAAGGGCAAGCAGCTGTCCTGGAACGCTGCGCAGGACCCTGGACACCTGCCCCCGGACGTGCGTGACACTCTGCGCAGGGCCTCCGAGTTCTATGAGTGAGTGGCCCCGAGCCCGTGCCGCCGAGCCGCTGGGCCCCTGCCTGCCGCTCCGGACCTGGCAGCAGCCCCAGCAGGAGCGTCCACCCCCAGCCCTGCCCGCCCGCGGTCCCGGGAGGGACAGCCAGGCCACCGTCCTTCCCCGCCCCCGGGGTCTGCTGGGACCCCATGAAACCCTGCGTGTCCCATGTCACGGTCCCTCGCAGCAGTGGAGAGAAGCGAGGAAATGCTCAGCCAGAGCCACGTTTAAAAACAACATGGCTGGGAAAAGGGCCGGGACATTGGGCCGAGTCCCCGGGAGGGACAGCGGTCTCCCCGGAGAACAAGGCTGCACCTGGGAACCAGAACTGGGGAGAGGGGGAGCCCTGACCCGGGCTCGGAGCTCAGAGAGCACCACGGGGCACCAGAGCTAAAGGGGCCCTGGGAGGGGCGGCACGGAGGACCCTGCTCGGTGTTCCCTGGCGGGGGGCCGGATCACACCCGAGGGCTGTGGCTCAGACGGACTCGGCCCCCAGGAGGAACCTGTCCCTGGTGAAAGAGCTGGGCGACCGGGCAGCCCAGGGCAGGGCCTGCGGCAACCTGGGCAACACCCACTACCTGCTGGGGAGCTTCGTGGAGGCCACCGCCTTCCACAAGGAGGTGGGTCGGCGGCGGGGGCGGGGCGGCCTGTCAGCCCCTGCTTCGGCTGGGCTTGGTGCAGGGGTCCTGGGACTGCTCCCCCCAGATACGCAGACGTGGGGCCAGCCACACTGGGCGGGGAGGCAGCACCTGCCACCCACGTCGGGTGGCAGAGCTGCTGCGTGACCACTGGGCCGCGGGATCTGCGTCCACAGCGCCTGGCCATCGCTAAGGAGTTTGGGGACAAGGCGGCCGAGCGCAGGGCCTACAGCAACCTGGGGAACGCCCACGTCTTCCTGGGGCGCTTCGACGTGGCTGCCGAGTACTACAAGTAGGTGCCCTGGCACCCAGCCAGGGAGAAGATGGGCCCGGGAGGCACCCACCCCAAGGTCGGGGAGAGTCTGACCTCCCAGCCCCCCAGGGGCCACCCTGGAAGGGCAAACTGACAAAGCCGGAGTCCGGGGCTGCCAGGGACAGGGGTGAGCACAGTGCCCCTCACTCGTGTGCCAGGCACAGAGCCGGCCTTGGCCGAGGGCCTCCCGGCGCCAGTTACTGGGGGGACCCCGGAGCTGTTTTTGCCCCTCACAGTGGCAGTGGGGTGCAGAGATACTATTACCACAGGCACTCGGAAAGGTGAGGGCCCCTCTGGCTCCTGGGGGTCCCTGACTTGTGCCAGGACACCCTCTGGGCCACCTGCCTTCTGGCCTGAGTAGCGGAGCGGTGGCCGCTGAGCAGAGACCAGGTCATTCGCACTGGGTTTTGGGCTGAGCCCTGACGCGCCAGTCAGGACCCTGAGCCAGGTGTTGCTGTCCCGGGCCCCCCATGGAGAGGCAGAGATCAGGGTGGTGAGGGACCCCGGCAGGAGTAGGCGGAGCCTGGCGGGGCCCTGTCCTTCCGGTTCCAGCAGAGGCGGGTGCTTCGGCCATGCAAGAAACCCCAGGTGGACCTCCGGGCAAGTGGGCTGCTTCCCCCACAGCCAGCTACCCCTCGGCCGGGGAGGGGCGTGGGCCGCGCCCTGCCCCGGGGCGGGGGTGGGGTGGGGGGTTGGTGCTGCAGCTGTCCCGGGGCTGCCCCCTCTGTGCAGGAAGACGCTGCAGCTGTCGAGGCAGCTCAAGGAGCAGGCGGTGGAGGCACAGGCCTGCTACAGCCTGGGCAACACCTACACGCTGCTGCAGGACCACGAGCGCGCGGCCGAGTACCACCTGCGGCACCTGCTCATCGCTCAGGAGCTGGCCGACAGGTGCGCGGGGGCAGACCCGGCTGGGGGCTCCCACCACCCGCAGGCCCTGGCGCAAGCCGATTACAGCCGCCCAGGCCTGAGTCCGAGGCCCTGCTCGGCCACTGACCACTGAGTGACCCCAAGCAGGGCAGCCCTGCCTGGGCCTCGGCCTCCCTCTGTCCCTGGGCCACGCCGCCCACTAAGTGGGACTGGGTGAGACCGGGTGACGCTGGGCCAGTCACGCGCGGTGCCCCTTGATACAGCTGCTGGCAGGTTTTACTCCAGTTGCCCAGTCCATCGACCCTTCAGCCTATGTAAATGTCAGTCTCGGTGGAGGGAGAGCCAGACTGGGGACTCCTAAACAGGCAGCCCAGACTGGGGACTCCTAAACACACGCGAGGCCGGCTGGGCAGTGGCCGGAGGCAGAGCCACAGGCTGCGGAGAGCAGGGGCCACGTAACAGGCCGCCCCGCCAGGAGGCTTCAGGTGGCACACACCTTCTCTTTGGGGTGACGAAGACGTTTTGGAACTAGCTTGTGGCGATGATCACAGGCTGTGAACATGCATGTTGCCACCAAATCGTGCCCTGCGGACGATTAAGCTCTTGTCAGACCGTATTTTCCTCGATTTAAAAATTAAGGGCTCGAAGGGCTGGGGTCACCACCGCCCCCAAAGATGGAAGGAAAGCAAGGGGTCCGTGCCTCGCTGGCCACTAGGGGGCGAGCAAGGCCAACCAGGAGCCCTGGCAGCCAGGCCCCCCCCACCTCCTCTGTCCACCTCCCACCATGTTGGGCCTGGACCCCCGGAGACTAGGGGCTTGGGAAGGCTGGCCTGGTGGTCAGGCCCAGGGGGGTGCAGACGGTGACTCAGTTTCCCTCCCCACAGAGTGGGCGAGGGCCGGGCATGCTGGAGTCTGGGGAACGCCTACGTGTCCATGGGGAGCCCGGCACAAGCCCTGACCTTCGCCAAGAAGCACTTGGAGATCTCCCAGGAGGTGCGCTGTGCCTTCCTCCCCCGCCCCAACCACTGTGGGAGCCCCCCAGGCGCTGCCCAGCCCACTCCAGAGGGACTGCCTGCAGGGCCAGCCCCACGTCCCTGGAGCAGAGGCTGGGGTGCAGCCCTGGCCCCCAGCATTCCATGGGGAAGTCCCACCAGGCCCACCCTTTGGCTAGCTCCGGTCCACCCGGTGAGCCCAGACGGAGCCTGAGGGGTGGACAGGAAGCTTCACGGGCTGGGAGGTTCACAGCCCAGCACCAGATGGAGGGCCCCACGCTGCCCGAGACCTGGCTGCCTGGGGCCCCAAGCCGTCCTGCGGTGTGAGGGGGGGTGGCCTGGGGTGCAGGAGGCACTCCCACCCGGGGTAGATGCCCAGACTCCACCCTTGGGGCACAGTGAGGCTCGGTCCCTTGAGGCCTACGGAGGGCCTCCCAGCAGCCTGCCCACTGACCTGGCCCTGCCCGGACTCAGATTGGAGACCGCAACGGGGAGCTCACAGCCCGCATGAACGTGGCACAGCTACAGCTGGCACTGGGCAGGCTGACCAGCCCGGCCGCCGCAGAGAAGCCAGACCTGGCCGGCTACGAGGCCCAAGGTGGGTTCCCGGGCTGGGGGTGGGGGATCCTGTGGCCGCGGTCGGGATGCAGGGCCTCGGCGGGCAGGGCTGTGACAGGAGGACCGCCCTGGCTTGGGGCACTGGCTTATGCAGGGGCTGTGGTGTGGGTTGCAGGGAGCTGGGCTCTCCTCCACACAGCCGCCCAGGAAGAGAAGGGCCCCCCCAGGAGGTGGGGGAAGTGACGGGGTGTCCAGGGTGCCGGGGGCACAGATAGAGGGCCGTCTCTCGAGGCAGGTTGGGGATCAGGAGATTAGAAGGGTGGGGGCAGCATGGGCAAGGGGGTAGCCCAAACACCGGCATCCAGGCCGGTTCTTTGTGGTCACTGGAGCAGCAAGGGCCTGTGGCCACACTGAGCCCCCCAGGTTTACCACCCAGGGGCACCCCAGCAGGCAAGAAGAGGAGAGGGCCCTCACTGCCCCTCCTAGCCACCCAGCCCACTCGGGCTGGAGGCTGGGTCTGGGGGAGAGCTTCCCTTTGGGCCAGAGTGGGAGGGGCTGGAGGAAGAGGGTGGGGAGCTGGTCCACCCACCACAGTAACCTCAGCCTGCTGCTGGGGTCGCCATGAAGCTCAGCAATGTGCACACAAGGACAGGACGTTCCTTGCAAAGCAAACAGATTCATAAATTCAGGGTCTGTGGGCGGGGGACACCCCGAGCTGGCTTCTGGGGCAGCTGCAGGTGGGCGCAGGGCAGAGCTAGCCTTCCCCTCCCCACCCACACGGCCTCAGCCGTGGTTCTCCAGTTTTCAGAGTCCGGTCCCAGCCCCCTGCAGGCCATGGTTCCAGGGGTGCCCACTCTGCCCCAGCTCCTAAGCCCCTTGGCCTGCCCAGAACCGGGCCGGGGTTTCGGAAGGCAGGCGGCTCGGGCCCTTGAAGGCCACCTCCAGGCCCCCGGCGGAGGGCCCGGCATCTGGACAGGCTCCGGCAGGGCCGGCCCGACCCTGTGTCCTGCCATTCTCCTCCTCGGAGCTGAGGGAAGGGGGGCGTGTGGTGAACGGCGGGCTGTGCAGGAACAAGGCAGCTTCTGTCCTCCCCACGCCCCGCTGGAGCCTCCCCACGGGGCTGCCTGCTGGTTGGCCACCAGCAGAGGGCAGGGCTGGGGCTCGGCCGGCCTCCCGGGAGGGTGGCTGCCGACGCAGCAGTGTGCGCAGTGTGCCCCGGCCGGAGGAGGCCTCGAGGCGGATGCCCTGAGCGTGGGCGGCCCAGGGGAGCCTGGCAGGGCCGGGCTTCCTGCAGGGGCAGCACCGTCCATCCCTTCACTCATTCACGCATTCGCTCATGCGCGCTAAGCCAGCGTGGTGGGCTGGCCGTTTCCGGAAGCCGAGTGCCCACCTTCTGGAAACTGCCCCTTCGGGGTGGGATGGGACAGTTGCATGTCCAGACCCTGTCAGTTTGGGGGGAGGGTGAAGGGAGCCAGGTGAGCACCCGGGAGGGGCGTTAACCCAGCGAGGGGGTGGGTGGAGGAGCGGCCCTAGGGAAGGAAGGAGGCCCTGGGCGGGTCCAGAAGGATCAGGAGGGAGGGAGCGGCGGCGGCTGGGGGCGTGGCTGGGGCGTGGCCCGCGCGGTGTGGGCGTGGTCTGGGCGGGTGTGGCTGGCTGGCTGGAGGCCCCGCCTCAGGGGCTCTTTTCCCGTCTTGATATAAAGGAGGGCCCTTCGTACAGCTAGAGGCCCCAGAGTGGGTCTGCGGGGGCCCCGGGGGGCCCCTCCTTGTTACTGTTCCCGGGCTGCGATCAGCCCTCTTGGGTGTCCTGGGGTGCCCCACCTTGCCCTTCCCAATGGAGGAAGCCATCCCTGAGCCCTGCAGCGCTGCCGGCCTGCCCTCTGGTGGATGTCCCCTGCCTGTCCCGAACGGGCCTTACAGCTAGAGGCCCCAGAGTGGGTCTGGGGGGGCCCCGGGGGGGCCCTCCTTGTTACTGTGCCTGGGCTGCGATCAGCCCTCTTGGGTGTCCTGGGGTGCCCCACCTTGCCCTTCCCAATGGAGGAAGCCATCCCTGAGCCCTGCAGCGCTGCCGGCCTGCCCTCTGGTGGATGTCCCCTGCCTGTCCCGAACGGGCCTGGGCTGTCCTCGGTGCCACAGGGCATAAACTGCCCCAGTCCCCGCTGGCACAGCTCGGCAGCTCCTTTGCCCACTGGTCCCTGCCCAGGGCGTCCTCAAGCAGAGCAGCAGGCATCCGCCGGACACCGCAGGGGTTGGGATGGGCACGTCCTAATGTCCGAGCAGCAGCCCAGGCTGTGGGCTCTGGCCCTGGCTCCGCCGTGTCCGGGCCAGCCGACCAAGTGACTCCATCCAGCTGTGCCTCAGTGTCCCCACTGGTCACCGTGGGAACAGCACCTGGAAGGGACGAGGGCACAGCTCGTGCCCCCTGAGGGGGACGCGTCCCTGTCCACCCGTGTACTCAGAACACGGCTGGCGGCCCACTCCCGTGCTGGCGCCGAGGGCACACAGACCAGGCCGGAGTGGGCCCCCTCTGCCTTTATGCCTGTGCGTTCTGCAGCGGCTATCCGCTCAGCCTGGGGCCAGCCTGACTTCCCGTGAGCCCTGCCCCAAGCGTGCACACCTGTAGCCCTGCCTACCTGTGTCCTGCCCCTGGCTTTGCCCTGGAGGCTCTGTGACCTTGGCCAGGCAGCCACCCTCCCTGAGCCCCAGTGTCTACAGTCTTGGGAGGGTGGCCAGGACTTATGCTGGACGCGGCCAGGAGGAGTCAGTGCTTGGGAAACCACACACAGGGTCACACACTCAGGCACTTCGTAAACAGTAGCCACTCATTTTACTTCCCTATTAAGCACCTACTATGTGCTAAGTGCTCCATGCTCAAGCTCTAGGGGCATACCAGTGACCAAAACAGGCAAAGACGGCAGCAAATCATGTGTCAAACAGGTAAATCACGTGTCCCAAGTGCTTTGGCAGAAAGGAACGTAGGGGGGCAGGTTAGGGACAGTGAGAGAGGCAGGACGTAGACACTCGCAGCGTGGCGGGCTCCTGGAGGCCACCGTCTCAGTCAGCTTGGGCTGCACAGCGAACGCCGTGGACCAGTGGCTGAGACACGCCCTGTCCCGGGTCGGGGCTGGGAGTCCGGGCAGCGGGGTCTGGTTGGGGCAGTCCTTCTGGCCAGCAGACAGGGTGCATGGGGTGTGGGTGGAAGAGAGCGAGCTCCCTGGTCCCTTCCCATAAGGGCACTGATTTCGGCACAGGGCCTGCCCACCCTCATGGCCCCGGCCAACCCTCGACACCTCCTGAGGCCCCAACTCCTAACACTGCCCCCTTGGGGTTTGGGCATCAACATATGACACAAACAGTGACTTTTGAGTAAAGACTTGGAGGAGGGGAGGGAGCAAGCCACGAGCCTAAGTGGAGGGACATCCCCGACAGAGGAACCAGCCCTGCAGAGGCCCCAGGCAGGCGTGAGCTGGCCCACGGGGACAGCAAGAACGTTGGGGTCGGGGCTGAGGGGCAGAGCCAGGCCAGGCGGGACCTCATGGGCCCTTGCGTAAGCCCCCACCCCACGCTACTGGGGTGCCTACAGGGTCCACAGAGGAACAAGATCTAACCCAGATGCCACCGGCATCGCTGGCCCCGCGTGGAGAAGGCTTTGGGGGCAAGGCTGGGGCAGGGAGGCAGAAAACAGAGGAGACTCAGGTCCCAGTGGGTTGGCACAAGGCATCGTGATGCCTGGTGGGACAGAAATGATGGCAAGGGTGCCGGTCAGTCTGGGGCGGGGCTCAGGGCAGTCTGCAGAGCCTCCCCTCTTGGTGGGGGGATGGGAATTGAGCCAGTGGTGCCGGGGCCTGAATGCCCCAGTCAGGCGGCTCAGCCAAGGGTGCGGAAGACCTCTGCCTTCTCCAGACAGAGGGCGCATTCAGCCGGGCCCACGGGGCCTGCCGCCCTCGGGGTGGCGTGAGGGGACCCGCCCAGGAGCCGGACACTGTGTGTCAGAGGGGCGTTTCAGCCTCTGCTTGGAGGGCCAGCTGGGGCAGGAGCAGCCGTGTGGGGCTGGGGGCCCAGCGGACAAGGTGGGGAAACAGAGTCAGGCCTTAGGGTGTCAGGGGGCAGCCCAGGGATAGGCCCACAGCCAGGCCCTGGCCGGCGATGGAGCAGGGCCTCCGCTGGCTGTGGTGAGTAGAGGGCCCTGGACAGAGGCCACACGTCCCGCGGGCCGCTCAGCCGTGGGACGGAGACGTGCCCATCACTGCATGGGGGAGGGGGTGGGCGCTGCCCCCAAGCTGTGCAGTTTGCAGATGGACCGATGTTTCTTCCTAACGGGGTGGGTGGCAGCAGGGGACCCTGACCCCACTCTGCCTCGTCACTTTCAGCCTCATGACATGGAGTCAGGCTGTCCGCTCTGGGGCAGAGGCGGGCCGGGCACTGACCACCACGCCACGGGGGCAGGGCCCTGCTTTAGGGTGGTCATGCGAGGGGTGGGAAGGGCAGCAATGGCCCTAAGTCCTGGATCCACACGGCCACCTGAGCACTTCCAGGGCTGGCCGCTGCCTCCTGGTCAGGCCGCTGCAACTGCCCCCACCCTGGGCTCCGCGACAGCAGCCATGGACCAGTCCAAAGGACACTGCATCCCCACCCGAGGCCGTCTCACTTCTCGGCTTCTGGAGAGCAGGGGGCAGGAGGCCAGACAGGGAGAAGGCACAGCTGCCCACGCCATCTCTTCCCACCTGCCCAGTCCTCGTGGGGCCCCGGACACTGGGTTTGGGCTGGTCTGAATGACTGACCACCGCCCTCCCTCTGGGGACTGTGCCCAAGGCAGGGACTGTGGGCCCAGGCCTGGGTCAGGGAGCCATGCCGAGGGCAGGCCGTGTGGGAGGGGGTCTGGGTCAAGCTGCCACGCCACCCACCGCGCAGCTGGGCTTCATGAGTGGGCAGGAAGAGCTGGGTCTAGGACTTGGAAGCTGGACCTTATGGGGGGGCAGACGCCAAAGCCAGACCCCGTAGGCCCCTGGTGGGTCCATCCCATTTCGATGCCTGACCACCCGTCCAGTCAGGACATGCAGATCCGGGCCACACTGAGATTGCTCCACGTAGGGGGGAGACGCCCATCTTGGCCCCCCGAGGGCAGGCTGGTTGATGGCCCTCGGCACCCCAGAGGGCCCCGGGCTATGCCAGCTGACCTGGAGGCCAGGAGTCGGCGTCAGCTGACCAACCTGCTGAATTCCAGGGGCCAGGCCCAAGAGGACGCAGCGGCTGAGCGCAGAGACCTGGGACCTGCTGAGGCTCCCGCTGGAGCAGGTGAGTGGGGGCGGGGCGGGCGGCCAGGGGCTCGGGGGACCTCAGCGGCGTGGCTAACGAAGCAGCCACAGTGTTGGCTGAGCTGCCAGCGTTCCCGTCCACGGCACGTCCCCTGCCATGAGAGGCAGATGTGCCCTCTGCCTGCAGAGGGGCCCCCGAAAGGCCTTGGAGCACCAGTGCCTGCTCCCTCCCACTCGCTTCGGGGTCCTGCCGGCCGTGGCCGTGTCCCCCGGGGACAAGCCACAGTCATTACACATTGCAGACTCCTGTGTCCCTGCCCAGCCATGACCCCAGTGTCCTTGCCGGCCCCTCCTCCTGGCTGCTCCTTCCTACTCAGACTCTGCCCTGGGCCCACTCTACCTGCCAGGGGTGCCGTATGCCCTGGGGCTATGGCCTAATCCCTCCAGGCCTCCGGCTGCTACAGTGGAGACTGGGGGCCTGGTCACCCACAGCCACGCGTTGCTCAGTGTGGGAAGGTCGACATTTGTGGGGTCAGATGCCCAACTGGAGCTCCTCCGGCACCCACCCTGGCTCCCCCTGCCCCCAGGCCCTGGGGCCTTGGCTGGCCCTCTCTTCCTCCTCCCCCGGGCCAGGGTGTCAATGTGTGTCTGTGAAATGGGGGTGACTGTACCTGCCCGGCCCCGCTCAGGGCCCTGGGATGGGGCGCATCGGTGTGGAACTGCGGGTGACCCCCACCCACGCCTGGCCTTCCTCCCTGTCCCCAGGAGCAGAATGGAGACAGCCATCACTCTGGGCACTGGCGGGGGCAGGGCAGGGACTTGCTCCCCGCCCCAGTGAGGAGCAGGAAGGGCCAGGAAGGGCCGGACACCGCTGAGAGGAGGCCCCGGGAGGGCAGCCACTCCCCGCTGGACAGCGCAGACGTCCGGGTGCAGGTGCCTCGCACGGTGGGCCACTGACCCTTGAGCTGCGACGGGGAGCCCTGGGAGGGACCTGGGAGACCACTCCAGGAGGCAGAGGTCACGGCCCTGGCTGTGCCCAGGACCCGGTGGGCACCGGGCGTGCGGGCAGTCCAGGACACCCAGTGCAGGCACAGTGTGTGATTGTCAGCTGATCGGACAGCTCAGGTGGTGGCAGCTCGGGTCCCTGGGCCAGGCCACAGGCCCCGTCCTCGGACAGGTCAGCGTACAGAAGTAGACTAACGGATGGGGGCTGGGCGGACTGATGGATGGGGGACCGATGGACTGGTGGTTAGGTGGATGGACAAATGGAGGACAGGGGCCAGGCCTCTTACTACCTGGCAGGTGTCCCACTGTGCCCAGCAGCCTGGGCTGGCCTTTCTAGGCTCATGGGAGCTGGCCGGGGGTCAGAGGTCAGCCTGGAGCCAGCGTGCAGAACACTTGGCCCCAGCATCCACGAATCAGTCTAAAAACCTCCCCTCCGAGGGCTCAGTCACGCGGGACCCTTCCCCACATGCCCTCTTCCCCACAAGCCGGGGGTCTCCGCTAATCCCATTTGACCCCGTGCTGCCCACCTGGTGGGGAGGAGGGAGGAGGCACCAGAGGGGGTCCCATGGGGGGAGGGCCACAGTTAGGCCACGTGGGTTCTCAGGGTGAGCCCAGCCAGAAGGGGCCTGGCAGGGAAAGCCCCCCGCTCCCCCCCGCCCGTGCCGGACGCTGGGGAGCTGCCTAGCAGGAAGGGCCTTGTGGGGTGGGGCAGCGGTGGGTGGAGCCTGGCTGTGCCCAGGGCCCTGGCTGCCCCAGCTTCTCCACCCAGGGACCGCATTTAGCAGGTGACAGTGCCGGCTGCACCCACCATTTTTCATTCTGTGAAAGGCTGAGTGAGGCAGGGGGTAGAGACTGCACCCCAGCCACCCAGGCCCACGGCAGGGAGAGCAGAGCAACTTGTGTTTTGGGGTCCCTGCACCCCTAACCACACCGGCCTCCCCCACGATGGCCGTTTGCAAAGTCTCCCTGAAAAGGCCACCAGGACAAAGCTGTGCACCCCACCTCCCATCCTGGGGGTCTCAGAGCTCTCCCCGTGCCGGCTGGGCTGACCCCGTGTCGAGTGTCACCCGGCCAAGCCCCTCTGGCTGCTGTCCCGGGCACCTCCTCCGGACGGAGACAGCGGCCGACACTCAGGCTTTTCACCTGCAGTGCAGCCCCAAGAGGGGAAACCGAGGCACGGGTGGCAAAGAAGCTGGCCGAAGGCCTCCAGCTAGACAGTGGAGCTAGGGTCGCCCTCTGGCCCCCGCAGCTGGCCCGTGTGGAGAGCATGGTGGGGCTTCGGGCCGTGCCAGTGCCCCCGGAGGAAGCCCTCCGGCAGAGTGCTGACCGCAGTGGCGGGCCCTGCTGCCCGGCAAGAGGCAGCCTCGGAGGGCCGGGCCTGGGCTGCGGGCGGGGGCCCCTCCCCAGGGCTCGAGCTCGTGTGGAGGGAGCAGGACAGAGAGGGCCCTGAGAGGGACGTTCAGGGGTCCCCCATCCTGCCCTCACCTCTCCTGCCGGGGCTCACAGCCGCTCCCCCAGGGCCGGTCATGGTATGAGAGGCTGGGGCGCTTCCTGAGCCGGCTAGAGCTGGGGGTCCACGGGCCTCCCAGAGCAGCAGAGGGACACTGAGGCAGGCGGCGTGAGGCCGGGGAGGGCCCTGCGTCCACGGGGCCTGGGCCTGGGCCTGGGGCTGGGGCTGGGCAGAGGCCAGGGGCCGCTGCGTGGGGAGGGGGCCGTGCGGGGTGCTGAGGGCGCCAGGCCCAGCATGGGAAGGCTCCTCTCTCCAGCTCCCACCAAGCTGCGGCAGCCCCGGCTCCGCGGGGGAGGCTCGGAATCAGAATCGGGCTGAGGAAAGGGGGCCTCCCACGGCCCGGAGAAGGAAGCCGGGGGCCTGGTGTCAGAGTGGGAAGCTCACGCCACACAGGTTCCCATCCCCCTTGGCCCTCGGCGTGACAGCCGCCGGCCCCGAGCCAGCAGCACAGAGCGCGCTCAGGAAACCCAGCTCTGATGTTTACGGAGTGCGCTGTGCGCGTGTGTCTGTGTGTGTGTCTGTGAGTGAGTGTGTGCGTGTGTGAGTGATGGAGTGCGGGTGGGTGGGGATGGGGAGGGGCCCTCAATCCGGTCCTATTTAAGAAGCCAGCTCGCGGGGCCCTGTTGGTCTCAGCAGCGGGGTGGCACTGGGCGCCACGGGCAGGGTGGTGGCACAGGCACCTTGGCATCCCGCCTGGGGTCCACGTGGCCGAGCATCCCGGCCAGCCCCTGGAGGCTGCTGCTGTAGGAGCTGCGGATCCGGCGTGAGTGTGGGGCTCCCAGCACAGAGGGAGGCTCGGGGAGCACCTGGGCCCGTGCGAGGCTGGACTCAGGCAGAGCTCTTCTCCTGGGGGGCGTGCAGCTACCCCAGGGGTGGGGATGGAGAGGTTTGTCCAGGGCCCTGAGTGGGGTGAGTTCTGAGTTCGAACGTGTTCTGCGCGACCCCTGCCCTCGGTCCTGGGCAGCCCCAGGCCCATGGTGGACACAGTTCTGAGGAGCTGGCCTGGGGGTAGGGAGTGTGTGGGAGGGTGAGGCCTGAGGAGGCCCTCTGAGACCTCCAGATGGAGGATGAAGCCTGGGTTTGGGGCAGAGGAGAGATTGGGGCTCGGGGGTGTCTTGCTGGGGCCTAGAGGGTGTCGGGGGTAAGGGTGCAGGGCCTTGGAACTTTCCAGAGCCTTGCCGTGTGCACCTGTGGCCCCTGCACCCCACGAGGCCAGGGTCGGCTCCCCTCGGGTGGCTCAGGCCCGAGGAGCAGGGCCGCCAGCCCCAGCCTCGGCTGGAGATGGGCTCTGGCTCCGGCCTCAGGGGCCTCTCTGCACAGCAGTGGGGAGCCCTCCGCCCAGCCCCAGCCACAGTGCTGATGCGCCTGTGAGAGGCCTCGGGACAAACCCCGCTTTCCTTTAGGTGTGTCCCTTGAGCCCCGAGTTCAGCCCAGGGGAGGCTGGAGGAGTGTCGGGGTCACCCTTGTCACGGGAGGGGCCTGGCCCCATTTGCCTGGCCTGGAGCCCACCTGGAGGCCCCGCTGTCTCCGACGAGGCCCTGGCCCGGGCCCCTCTGGGCCCCTCTGAGCATCTGTCGCTCCCCTCCAGGCTCTGTGGGGCTGGGGGGGAGGCGGGTTGCAGGAGAGCAGAGCATTGAAGGAGGTTCTTGAACTCCCCCGAGCCTTGACTCTGGGCCTGCCCTGTGGGTAGGGGCAGGGAGGGGAACCCAAGTGCCCGGAGCCCTGGAAGGGGAAAGGTCTCTGTCCTCCAGGCTGCCACCTGCCAGCGTGGCCTACAGCACAGGACAGCGGGACCAGCTGCCCACAGCCCCCTGCGTGCTCCGGGAGGCCAGGCTGGTCCGCTCCGGGGTGGGGGTGGGGTCTCAGCAGCCCCTTGGTACTTTGACCTTGGAAGGCTGTGCTGGCTCCGTGCCCTGGCCCCCTCTGAAAGAGGCTGGCGATGGGGTGTCTCGAGCTCAGGAGTCATACACGTCGGGCGGCACTGGCACCCAATGGGTGACACCTTTGCTGCTGTGGTCTGTGAGCCCAGCTCTGAGCAGGCCCCGAGGGGGCTAAGAGGTGCATGGGCCGGGTCTGGGCAGGGGGCCTGGTTTCCGAGGGGCAGTGGATGGGGCACCAGTTCGCAGCCAGAGCATCCACCTGTCAGCCCTCAGGTCCCTGGACCAGGGCAGGGGTGTCGGCCCACTCTGGCCCTGCCCTCTGGGGGCGGCCCGACAGAGCCCGCCCTCCAGCCGCCCCTCGTGTGGATGCATAAACGGAGGCCCAGCGTGGGGGTGGGCTTGCCAAGGTCACCCTGCCAGTTGGCACTCAGCCAAGCCTGATGACCTGGTCTCGCGTCACACCCCAGCACTCTCCCTGCCCTACAGACTGTGGCCCCTCCAAGGACCTCCCACCCTTCCCGCCTGATCCCACCAGTGGGACTTCCCCAGGCCCAGCAGGTCCCTCTAGGGTCAGCCATCTGCAATGCCCAGCCGCCCACCTGCCGTGCTCAGCCGCCCAGAGCAGACCCTGGGCCTCCAGGCTCGCCTCTCGGCCAGCATACCGGGGGAGGGGCGAGTGGATATTAGCACTTCCTCTGGCCTGAGTAGCCCACACCCAGGGTCCTGACTTCCCCATATCCGCTGTCCTCTGCGCCTGTCCACCAGTCCAGGACCTTAGGAAAATTTTGCCCAGACCCCACCAGGGGTGGGACTGCGGTGGATCATGGGAGCCCTCACCTCCCCCAACTTGGGCGCCTTGTCTCTGGTGATATGACCTGGCACTGACCACTGCAAGTACGCACAACAGCCGGCAAAGTGCCCTGCCTGCCAGGGGTCGAGTTGCTGGTTTGCTCGCTCCCTTTTTGCTCACTCGTTTGTCGGTCAGCGGCACTGGTGAGGTGCACAGGCACAGGTGGGGCTCACCGCGGAGGCTGACAGAGAGAGGGGAGGCCCCAGGGACGGGAACCCCCACTGCCGGCAGGTAGTGGTGACCTGTGAACTGGGCTGTGCAGGTGGGGTTGGGGGGCAGCATGTGGGCAGCGGCATGTCTGAGAGAATGAGGGGGCCAGGTGGGGGTGGTGCTGGGAGGAGGGGGAAAGGCAGGCGGGGGCGCAGGTTTGGGGCAGGGTGGCTAGCAGAAGCGGGAAAGTCGGTGGATGAGGGTCGTGACCTTGGCCCAGGCTGAGCGGCCGCCTTGGTCACGTCTGGGGTCTGAGAGGGCAGTGGCTGGCTCTGTGGTCAGCGCTGTGGGCCCTCCTCCCCAGAGCCTCCCTCGGGCCCTGTCCTCCGACGAGGAGTGCTTCTTTGACCTGCTGAGCAAGTTCCAGGGCAGCCGCATGGACGACCAGCGCTGTCCCCTGGAGGAGGGTCAGCCCGGGGCAGCCGAGGCTACCGCGGCCCCCGCCCTGGAGCAGAGGATCGGTGAGCGCCCCCTCCAGGCTCCCGTAGGCCTCGAGGGGAGTGGGGCCCCCGGAGCCCCGGCTCCTGAGGGCGGTGGGCACCAGCTGCAAAGTGCCCCCTGTCACCACGAGCTCTTCGCCCCCGCCTCGCCCAGAGCCGCATCCTGGGGAACGTGTCATCATCTTGCCCGCCCTCCGGAACGCGGTGTCAGGCTCATCAGCCTCGGGGTGGGCGTGGGAGGGCAGGCTCTGCTCCCATCACCTCCTGGGGGGCGGGCGGGGGCGGGCAGGGACAGCTGGGAGCCCTTGACGGCTGGGGGGGCCACGGGGGCGCCCTCCCCGGGCTCACCGCTGTCCCCCACAGCCCAGCCGTCGCTGACCGCCTCACCGCAGACCGAGGACCTCTTTGACCTCATCGCCAGCTCCCAGAGCCGCCGGCTGGATGACCAGCGGGCCAGCGTGGGCAGCCTGCCTGGGCTGCGCATCACCCACAACAACCTGGGCCGCCTGCGTGGTGACGGGGACCCCCAGGAACCAGGGGACGAGTTCTTCAATATGCTCATTAAGTGCCAGGTAGGCCGCAGGGAGGGTGGGGTGCCTGGACCCCGGCCCGCCCCCGCCTTCTGTAGTGGAGGCTCCTGGCCAGTTCCTGAGTGGGGGGCAGAGGAACGGCCAGCCGGCTCCGCAGGTGTCACTGAGCGCCCATGGGTGGTCAGACCTGGGGCCTTCTTCCTGGGACGCTGAAAAGGCCACCCAGGACGTTCTCAGGTCAGCTGTCCCCTGCAGCGCAAGAGCTCAGAGCCCGCGGGCCACCAGGCCTCCAAGGCCCCGACCTCGGGGGTCCCTCCAGCCTCCCACCTCTGGACTGGGAGAGCCAGGGGCCAGACAGCACCCCCAGAGTGGGGAGAGCGGGGCGTCTAGCCAGGCGGAAGTGCAGGCGTGGTTTCGGGGTCCAGCAAGTCCCAGTGAGGCGGGGGCAGCAGCATGGCCACCCTGCCATGGGATTGGCAGGGATTGGCAGACGTGACGTTCGTCCCCACAGAGGAGAGGAAGGCACAGCCCCGGGGGAGCCCGAGAAGCCTCAAACCCGGCCCCCGCCGAGCCGCCCCGAGCCCCCCGAGCCCATGCACGCAGGCTCCGGCAGCTGCGCCTGCTCCCCGCCCTCCTGCTCCGGAGCCTGCGGAGGAGCCCCAACACCGCCGGCCACCGGCCCCGCTGCCCGCCAGCCCCGGCCCCTGACGCGGCGGGCGTCCCGGGGGCCTCTGC